TGCATCTTGAATTATATACCGACGAATTCAACATATTCGAGTCATTTATTGCTTTTTATTTTTTTGTTGGCTAGTATATTGATATTTAATATTCTGTTGGGAATTATGTTGGTAAAATCTAATACAAAAGACAACAACCACAATAGACAGAGCTTCATCTTCTTTATTCTTCTTCTTTCATACCCCCTCTCTATTTTTTTTTCTTCACTCTTTTTTATGTTCATGACCCAAGCTGAAATAAGCATCATTTTCTCTTCTCATCCTAAGATATGTTGTCTTTATTTTTCTCTTTATTTTCCTATTTTTCATGTTTTTTAACAATTTCTTTTCATTTCTTTTGTTTTTTTTTTAATTCTCAACCAACACTAACCACACCATAAACACAAGAATTTTTATTCCTTTTTCTCCTTTATTTTGTTTGTTTTGCTTACTTTTGTTAAATTTTATGTTGAATGTTAGTTGTTATTTAAATAAAATTTTCATTATTTTGAATACTTTTAGTATTTGTTTTTCAACTTCAATTAAATGTGTAGGATTAATTTAATTATTGTTTAATTTTTTCCTGTTAATCAGTGTAAATGCCACAAGGAAAGTCTATTTACATGTCATGAGGACATCATCACTTCTTGTTATTCTAGCAATGATGCTGATGACCTCAAGTCATTAGGTGTCAAACATGAATAGATAGTGAGGGCACGTGCATCGACTTATAATGCAGGTTTGTCGAGTTTGATGTCACAATGTTAGGGGGGTCCTTTCACAATGAAACTCATTTACCACAAGTATGAGGATCAGTGGATAGGACAACATTTCAATGTAAGAATGATTTTCTTGCTTTCATAACATGTTTAATAATTTTTTAAAAATAATTTTATTTAATGGATGTAATTTTAGGCCTATAAACATTGAGGCTACGAGAACAATCACATCAAATTTTAAATTGTTGATGGAAATTCTATTGTTTTAATAGAGTCAGGTTTTCAAACATTCTGAATGGAAACCAAGGCTAATATATGGTTTTCAAAGTTTAAGATTAGTATCAACTTAAAAATTTATTATTATGTTAATTTGATTAGTTTATTGAAATTATTGAAATTTTCCTCTTATAATTTTTATTGCAAGGGAAAATTTAAATGAGAGAGAGTTGATGATAATATTGCGAGGAGAGGGTTTGAGAGAATCATGTTGCAACTAGATAAGATTAAAATCAAGATAATTTATTTATTTCAAATATTAATTTTTTTTTTTATTTACTAACAAATAATTTATTGATAACATATAAGTTGCATGATTTTTGTTACTAGGCATAAAAGAAAGCAAAAAAATACGTGAAAGAAAGCAAGCTTCTAATTTAGAATGACATGACAGTTTGGAATGATTCCAGACCACCATATGTCTCTGAGTATGTATAAGCCAATGCACTTTTAAGTACTAATCAAGTATGTATAAGTGGGCTACATTTAGCACATGACGTTCACGTGTTTCACTTGACTATTATAATCTGGTTTAGAGAATCAACATCGATATGTTCACTGTTATGTTTCGTTCATTCGCATGCGAAATGGATGATAAGATTTTTTTTACTATTTCTATTTTTTTATTTGTTCTTCTTTGTAAATATAATTAACTAAAAATATTTTTATCTTGCAGGCTATGGTTCTTAGGCTTAAGTCAAGCTCATTGAAACTTTTTGTTGAAATTCATATACAAAGTGATGACCGCTAAAAAAGGGTGTAATAGTTCATGGATAGCCGAACTCAACTCTTAACGATAAGTTGGTTTTCATCTGATTTTTTTATGAAGTTATAATTTCCTTCATTTAATGAATTTATTTTTTCTTTCTAAGATACATATAACAATTTCCTAAAAGAGAGATATAATAACGATTATTTGACTTATTTGAATCTCGATCTAGATTTATGAATGAAGGTGGGATCGTCCTATAAGCCCGATAGAAATCGTATGTATGGACTCTCTAACACTACGACTAAGAACTTGTGGATGACCTATAGTGTTTCAACCATTAGATGCTCGCCATCAGTTCTGAGCACTCAAACTCTCCCAAGTTCGAGGCGATGCTAGACTACTGAGTATAAGATCGAACGACCCATATCAATGAAAAATATAAATAACTCACTGCGGATTATAGAGAAATATGTTGAGTGGTAATGGAGAGAAGATCACACGAGGGTAGTCTATGTGCTCATCTTTATTAGCCCCACGATCTCAATAACAACTAGCCTCCTTTTCCTTCAGCGCCATCTTTGTTTTAGATTTATTGTATTTAAACGTACAAATATTTAAATTGTATATTCCAGAGAATTGAAAAAGAATTATTGTAAATATCACTGCTATTATTAACTTTTTGATGAAATTATAGGTAGTATTCCATCAGTGATATGTTATATTTATTGATGGATATACTGACGAATAAATAAGAACATTGATAAAATCGTATTTGGTATTTTTTTCAGTTATATGGTAAACTTTCTAAGGATAATACCGATAAAATGAAACAGATAAGTTTTTTACGTAGTTTTTCTATCTATAAATCCATTGGTAAATTTATTATTGGCATACTAAAAATTATCAACGACAATTTTTTTGATGAACTGTTTATGTCTGTGAGCCCACCAGTAAAATATTTACCGATAAACTATGAGTGTAAATACTAATAAAAAATTATCATTAAAACTTTTAAATCCGATAATAAATTAAACTAACTCAAACTAATTGAGCTGAATCAAATCAAACAAAACCAAAATAAATCATTTCAAACTAAAGAAAAAAAATCAGTTGGCTAGATATTTGAGTCCAAATCATACCGTTCGAACTGAAATTCGCCTCTAATATATTATCATATGAAAATGTTCCTACATATCAAATCATGTGTCTATAAACATTATGGATTATACTTCGTAATCATAACTGACCAGTTTTCCGCGCGCATGTTTCTAGTTAACTTGTACCTCTCTCTTCGTTTTCGATCGTTTCTAAGCAAATCTTTGTTGCCGATCACCAAGCAGCAAATTCAGCAAGTCCCCTGCTTTAAGCAACTTTTTAGTGGGCTTGCTCCAAGAAATTCTCCACAGTTATATATGTCTCTTCTTGTATGCAACTTCAGTACGTGGTCAAATGTCTAAAAAAAGGTGGTCAATAGTATTTTCTTTTATCAATTGTCACACTTTAATAGCAGTTATAGATAGTTCCAAACATGCTGTTGTTCAACCATTTCAACAAAATATCAGCTGGATTTTATGTCGAGGAAAAAAAAACACAGAGAGAGCATGAACAAGTTGAAGTCTAGAAGAATTGCCGCATGTAGTAAGAAGATTAAATTATTATTATAACATCAAGGACAGACAGACAGTTGAGCAGAAATGGATTCCAATAACTTACCTCCATATTTTGGTACCTGCCTTGACCCCTAGCTCCTTAGCTTTTAATTATTGAGATTGTCGTTAAGGAAAGTTCTCCACGAGAGAGAATAAAACACTAACATTTGTTGAGCTAAGGAAAAAAAAAATTATTAGGCTCTACTTCGGCACTGCTTGGAAACATGTTTTTAAATTATTTTTTTTATTAAAATTTAATATATTATATATATTTTGGATAGTTTTGATGTGCTGATATCACAAGATAATTTTTTAAAAATAAAAAATATTATTAACATACATAAAAGTTATTTGGAAAGCAATCACAATCATTTTTATTATATATTTTTAGATTTTATTTTCAAAGAAAAAAAAACACAAGAAAAAATATAAATTATAAGAAGAGAAATTTTTATAATTTTTGTAAGCCTTGAAAAGTAACTAATAAAATATTTTTTCAGAGTATTTTTTTTTCTTGTGTTTTTTTTAAATAAATTCTAAAATATAAGTAATAAAATATCATTAACTACGGTATTAACATAAAAAAAACTTTTGATTTACATCATATTGTCGAGATCTCTTTACTACCAATGTTGAGTAAGTGCTGTTATTAGATTGCGCAAAGGATGGCAATATTTAAGGATAATAAACATGCTAAAGTTGACATTTCAATTGATGAAGGATTTAAAATCAGAGTGATGGCAATAAACAAAGACTTTTCTAGGTAGGAGTTGGTCCCTAAATCCATCCTTCCGATATCGGCCCTCCCCATATAGTAAAGATCAAACTAGATTATTATCATTAATTATTATTATATGAAAATGAGAAAAAAAAAAAAACAGAACATCTACATGTAGTTTCTAGCTAGATATCAATGCAATACGATTTAGAAGAAAACAAAAAGAGTGCTTAAGAAATGTAACCATGTACAGTTTGTAATGGCATCAATATTAGGCTGTATACATCCAAAAGGAAATGTCAAGATATATGTTTCCTTTTCCTACCAGCTTATTCGTATCTATATGTATATATCGACAAGCGTATCTAAATTAATAACGATATGGCTGCTTTATTAATTATAATATAAAGTTGTGGTTCTGCATGTTTACATGCAAGCAATAGGAACAGTGAAGACAATTTAGATGAGAAACTAATGTATCAGCCCCTTATTTCACCACTCTTCCGTCCATCTTTTTGCATTTTTCATGATCAATTTGAGTAATTTTCACTTTCAGAGCGCATATCCATGGGTGCTTCATTCATGCTTGAGGTTTTGTGCTTGTTAACTACTTTGTGTATAGGATTAAACCTAACCCCATGCATGATCTTAATTTGCTTGTCCAAGTGAGCAATCATTAATTTTAACCATCAAGTTCTTATCACAAATAGGGTTTTACTCATAAAGAGGAAAGTAAAGGGAAAAGGATATGCACGCGAAAGTCAACCAATCCTTCTCATTTCATCAAATCTTTCACATTTTTTTGTCTGCTCATCAACTATAACTCATCACCTTACTTGTGCTGTGGGGTCTTCGATATCCCTATTTATACCAACTGCAGAGCCATACTCTGCCATATCATATCAGATGCTTAATTAGCTAAGTTCATTGCTCTGCACTTAAACACACATCTTCATGCCATATCTTGTCTCACATTTTTAGTATTCTCCCTTTAATGGCTTCTCTTCTCTACCTTCCACTCACTCTATTAATCATCCCTTTAATGATCACTACTGCTCAAAATACGCCTTCACCTGGCTACTATCCTAGCTCCCGAATAAGCTCAATTGGCTTTGATCAAGGGTATAGCAACCTTTGGGGTGCTCAGCATCAAAGAGTAGAGCAAGGAACCGTAACAATATGGCTTGATAGTAGCTCAGGTCTTACTAATTTTCTTACTTATATAGCAACCTGTGCTTCTTCTACTCTACTAACACCTGAGAGCATTTTCTCGTTACTTATAATATTAATGGTAATTATACAACAGGTAGTGGTTACAAGTCACTTCATCCATATCGATCAGGATACTTTGGTGCAGCCATCAAGCTTCAACCTGGTTACACTGCTGGAGTGATTACATCTTTCTATGTGAGAGTCACAGGATAGCTAGCTAGATATTGTGTGTGTGCTTGTGCTTGGCTAGTATTGCTCATGCTGTGCTCTTTATTGTGACAGCTTTCGAATAATGAAGCCCATCCTGGGGACCATGATGAAATAGATATTGAGTTCCTGGGAACAACTCCCGATAAGCCATACACTTTGCAGACAAATGTGTACATAAGAGGAAGTGGGGATAGAAACATCATTGGAAGAGAGAAGAAGTTTCATCTGTGGTTCGATCCGACACAAGATTTTCATAATTATGCCATTCTATGGACCCCAAGTGAGATCATGTCAGTACGACTACTTTTTAACACATATATACTCAACCTTTTTTAATTTGTGGTTGGATTTTTTTTCTTTATCTTTTCCCCTTTTCTCAGTGGAGTCTATTTGTTCATTTTATCAATCCATGCAAATATCTCATCCATTTGGGGCTGATAGATGCCCGTGATAAAAGTTCCTTTTTCCAATGGGTTAAATTAACCAGGGAAATTTTGGGGGGCTCATGGGCATTATTTTGCACCAAATTTAACTTGCAGTGACTAATTAATAGTATTATTATTTTTTAATTATTGCAAAGGATATTGTGAAAAGAATGGTGAATCTAATAAAAAAAATGAATACACCAAAATCCTGTCTCCCATAAGTAGCAAACTTTATGCACCCACCACCATTAGAAAAATAAAATAAAATAAAATAAAATTCTAGCTTTCAATAATTATGATGTCCGTGCTTGAACTTTAAATTTATGTAAAATGCTTTTTTTTTTTTTGTTGTACTTAAGTGGTTTTCTTCTTTCATTGATGAACTTTGTCTGATCATGATGTGGACCACGTACAGATTCTTGGTGGACGATGTTCCCATCAGAAGGTATCCAAGAAAAAGCGATGCAACATTTCCTTCAAGGCCAATGTGGGTATATGGCTCAATCTGGGATGCATCGTCGTGGGCCACTGAGGATGGAAAATACAAAGCCGACTATAACTACCAACCCTTCATTGGCAGGTACAAAAACTTCAAAATCGGTGGGTGCACCGCCGATGGGCCTGCCTCTTGCAGCCCACCGTCTGCTTCTCCATCCGGCTCCGGTGGCTTGAGCCAACAGCAGTCCTCGGTGATGGAATGGGTGCAGAGGAACTACTTGGTTTATGACTATTGCAGGGATGGGAAAAGGGACCATACCCAAACACCTGAGTGTTAAAGATTCGAACTCGATCAGTAGAGCTGTAACTCACTGAGCGCGCATAAGTGTGTTAGTATGGTCTCATCTAAACGGCTATGGGCTCTGTTTCCATGGTTTGTTTTCTTCTTCTTTTAGCTATGAGCAGTTTGCTTCGAGTTGGATAGTCTTGAGACGGGTCCCACTTGCCAAGAATGGGTGCAAGAATTGTTGATCGTCCAAGTTTCCAAGAAGTATTCTTCGCTTTTGTTGTTTGTCGTATTGCTTTGTTTGCATTACCCTTGCTTTTATAAAGTTCAAAAAATGGAAGCCTGTTTTATCATCTCTCGAAATATCCAACAGCATTACTCTTTTGTGTGAATTTGGAGACGTCTTTTTATCATCTCTCTCAATGTGCTAAGCTCATCCTGTATAGTTAAAAACAATGCTTGTTTTATAGTTTTAATCATGGTATCAGAAATTTTTCTGAATATATTATATTGACATTGGAAAAAAAAGGAAAAAAAAACTAATTTCGATAATGTACAAGTTAATCCCAAAACACTTCATGTATAATTGTTACAAGAAGTATGCACAAGCGAAAACAATAGTGCATAGGATTTTTCCAAGAACACTTAAATTTTTTGGAAGAAAAAAAAAACAGAGTGACAGACCTGCGTAGAAAAATGGAATACGAGTTTTCATTCTTCCACTTTCAATTTTCAATATAGAACGAAAATAGCACAGAAAGAACTGTAGCTGCTTGTGAAATTCGATTGTCTTACCTGAGTTGGATTTTAGGACAATTCACATGCATTATTATGGTGTATATATGTACTAGCTAGCTTGAATCTTGTGACACCAAATGGGACCACAACCATGCATAGAGCTTTGGTGTCACAAGATTCAAGCTAGCTAGTACATATTTTATCTATGGTAGGTCTCCGTTTCTATGGTCTTCGTTGAGGCTTCCTCAACCAAGAGACGAAAAATTTATCCTATCCCGACAGCATTTGAGATAATAGTTTGGAATTTGCAGACCACCTTTGTATGTGTTTTCAAAGATTTTGGATTCGAGTGCTCTAACTTTTTGTTTGTGAAAACTCTAAGTCATATAACTATGTTCGTGGGGGATTTTTGAGTTTTGATTTCAACATAAATATGATGAAGGTTTATCTAGATGTATATGCGGTATCCGTGGATTCAATATTTTTCATTGAGAGTTAATTCAAAAACAATAAAATTTTTAAATTTACTAATAAATTTTTTTATTAATATTTATATTTATAATCTGTCACCATAAAATTTATCAACAGACTCATGCAAGAAAATCATTTATTAAAAATTATTAAAAAACATAAAACTTCAAAAAAAAATCTAACAATATTTATACAATCATTGAATTTATTGAAAAGTTAAAAAATTTTAAAAACTCCAACAATCTACATTCAATCCTTAAAGAATATAAAATTTTAAAATTTTTCAATAATATTTATACAATTATTAATAACATTATTTTAAAAAATCAATATTTATACAATTATTTAAGAAAAAAATAAAAAAAATACCATCAACATTTATACAATTATTTATAACAAAAAATTACTTAAAAATAAATAAAACACTAAAAACAGAAGGAAAAAAAAGAATCTTATCTTAATACTGAATTTTCTCAAGCCTGAGTAGAGAAAAAAAAGAAACATCTGAACAAATCATTAAATAACAAGAGAAGAAGAGAATGAGAAGAGAGAAAACGCATACTCGTAGAGGAGGAGAGAAGAGAGTGAAATGAGAAAGAAAGATGAAGATTTGGGAGGAGGAGAGAAGAAGTCGGTGAGGGAAAGAGAAAGAAAGATGAAGATTTGGGAGAAAGAGAGAAGAAGTGTGAGGGAAAGAGAAGAAGTGAGGGAAGGAGAAGAAGAGACATGTTTGTCTATTCTAATTCTATGAATTTTAGTCTTTTTATTTGAAGTTTTTTATTGATGATTTTACTAATTATTAATTAAATATTAATATTTTTAATGTTTATGTTGGTATTTTATCTTGTTAAATTTAATTAAAAAATTTCAAAAACACGTGATATTATCAATGTCTTTACTATAAGAAAATTAAAAATTAATATTTTAATTGTTTAATCAGCGTTTTTGTTTGTAAAGTCTTATTAAAATTTTTAATTTAATCTAAAATTTTAAGAAACACGTCATGTATTACCAACAACTTTACCAACAATAAAATAAATATTAATATTTTTTATTTTTCCATCATTTTATTCATCTATAAAGTCTAATTGAAATTTTTGATTTAATCCAAAATTATTCAGAAGTGATCCAACTATCATCAATGCCTTTACCAATAATAAATAAAAAAAATTAATATTTTAATTGTTTCGTTGATGTTTCCATCTATCAAGTCTAATTAAAATTTCAATTTAATCTAAAATTTTTAGAAACCCACCAACTATCATTGGTTACTTTTTAGTTTGTTGATAATTCTGTCTATAAAAAATAATAATAAACAATGCAAGTGAAAAATAAACATTATCTTAACTCTCAAGAAAATACTGATGTAAATTAACCATCAATAATCCCATATATAATAAACAATAATATATATTGTAAGTGAAAAATAAACAATATTTTAGCTCTTAAAAAAATATTGACATACATTAATTATCAGTGATCTCATATATACTAAATAGTAATAAATAAAGCAAGTGATAAGTGAACAACACCTTATACTTCTCAGGAAAACATCAATAAACATTTTTCATCGATGATCTTCTATGCATTGAACACAATAAATAGTGCAATTAAGATGTGAAAAACTTTAATACTCTTTAAAATATACCAACAATCTTAATTTGCTGATATGTTTATTTGTATTTTTCAAGGATATTAGTATTTCTATTAATGAAAAGCAGTTTATTATGTTAGATTACATCTATATTTTTTATATATTTATCATATAAATACTTAAAATAATAGTAGCACACACAACTCAATAATACTAGTTCTATCTATATAAAAAAAAAAGTAGATTATATTTGTATTTCTTTTTTTTTTCAATTTTTTTTGTTTCAACAGTAGCGTATGCATGTACTATATATAGGAAATATATAATTAATTTCTTGTGTAGATAATTTAGAGATGATAAGTATATAATTTATTGCGCGAATAGAAGGATATAGATACAGATATGCCGATAAAACATTATATAAATTGATCAATGTGGCCTTGTTCAGTTTATGAATCTTCAAAAGGCTCGTAACTCAATTGTTCTTGGTGGTCTCGACTCAGCTTGTTAAGAGCTTGAGGCCTTGTCATGTTCGGTCCATCTAGAGAAGACGGTCTCTGAAGTTGGAAGTTCGAACTACATGAGGCTCGGTTTTTTT